GTTACAGCTTTTTGATAAAGCTCTAATTGGTTTTCTTTTGGAAATATGTTTCAAATTCACACTGAATGCATTAATGACTGTAAAGCATGTCTGTGTGTGTCAAAATCGTGATTAAAATAGAAATCGCAAAATTGATCAAAGAAATCGCGATAGGTTTTTTTTGTCCATATCGCACAGCCCTATTCTGAATACTTATTTTGACATTAAAGCCACAAAATGCCATTTGACTGTGCATTGAAGCTTTTAAAAATCATTATTATTTTGTAAAAAAAAAAAATCTGTACGTGATGTATTTTTAAAAATATTTTTGAACTCAGCATCATCAAATTATGCAATAATAGGCCTTTTCTACATTTTTTAAGATGCAGGGCTGTTATGATGTGACTGAATGTGGTTCCAAATAGGCCGCCAGTCTGTGCGTTGCTGTTATTCGTTAACTATGTTGGCTTTTCTTGGAACTATTTTTGACAACTGAGATAAAGGTAGATGAAATAACTGGCCATATTGTGTCTAAAATATACGTCACTCGTGCTGCTCATGATGTGGCCGTGCTTATATTCAGTACGACAACACGACTGCGGGTGTCATTTTGTGGAAAAACAGGACGGGTGCATAGAAGGGGCTTGTTTTTTTATAGGCCGGGGTATTTTAAGGGGGAATAGGGAGGTAGGAAGGGAGTAAAATCTATCTGTTTTTACTTATCCTCACATTTCTGGCTGGGGTACGCACCATGGGAGGTGCAGTGGGCGGCCCAATGATGGCAGGGAAGGGCGTGAAGGTGTGCTGATGCGTGTGTTGGTGCTGGTGCATATGCTGATGTTGGTGAAACTCGGCTCGGAGGAGCGACACAGGGGCCAACGGCGACCCTGTGGCCCCCGGCGCCGCCCCCCGACCTCGCTCCGAGCTCTGAACCAGGAAGCGGTTGTTCAGCTCCTGCCGCAGAAGATCATGCTCTGCAAGAAAGGAGAGCGAAGGGGAAAAAGGCGGGAAAGTGGGGAGATGGGGAAGACACGGGAGGGAAAAGAAAAAAAAGGCACGGGCGGCCAGTGAGTTTTCACAACAGCGGTAGGAAGAAGCGAAAGAGGGTAGTCACCTGGCTTTCTCTGTTTCTCCAATTCAAGGTGTGAGGGTTTTCTACGTGAGGACTCATTGGTGGAGGTAAGAGAGTTGCCTGTGACAATGTGCCAATCAGAATCCCCGAATGAGGCTGGCAATACATGATTGGTTGGTTGAAAGATATCAAGAGGCTGGTATCTAAAGACAAGAGAGAACCAAGAGTCACCTCAGCAGAAAACACACACACACTTGAGCCGACAAACATAAACTCTTATACGGCCTTAAAGGGATCGTTCACCCCAAAATGAAAATTACCCTCATTTTGTTCCAAACCTGAATGACTTGCTCTCTTCTGTGGAACACAATCAAAACTGTTTTCAACACACTGACTTATATCGCATGGATAAAAAAATAATAATTATTATAAAAGAAGAAACAAATGCATACAGGTTTGCATACAAAATTTTCATTTTTGGGCAAACTCTCCCTTTGAGACCCTTCTTAAAATTTAAGAAACTCTTCAAGCACTTGCTTGATGCTTAAAAAAGACATTAATAGATACTTTTAGTTTAGAGTCTAAATGAACATTGATCAAAAACAGAACTTTTGGTACTATTGCAATGACTTGAGCCATGTGTTTACCAAAGGTTTACACCGTAGAGGTTAGCTGCATGTATAAACCTGCTATTTTTTTCTTGTTTAGATTTAGATCAGCATGTAGCTTTAAAATGCCTGGAACTGGAACAAAAAAATACACTTACCGCATAAAGAAACGCTGAGATGAAGAGGACAGGTATAATTTTCATCTCACATTTTGCATTTAGTGTAAATTGTATCAAAATCTGATTTAACTGTCAAAGGCAAAATAACAGCCAATAAAACAGAAGTTTACTGCCCGAGACACAGGATCCAGATATTAGAAATGAACAGTATAGCTGACATCCTTTTTTTATTACAGGCATCATATACAGTAGAAAAATGGGCCAACTGGATATAAGTCACATATTTCATATGCTGACCTCTGATGCGTGCCCCATTTCGCCTCACTCTTGAAACATCTTGAAAAGAATGCAATTTAAGAGCAATGCTGTTGTTACTGAATACTTTATCCATAAAGCTGTCTTTAACATGGGTTATTTGTCAACAAACAGAGCAATTTATGCTTTACACCAAGCAATTTAAAGCACAGGAACTGTAGGAAAGGTCCTTACATTTGCGGGAACCAAATGTGTTTTTAAGACTAGCACTACACTAAATATGCTCATTTAAAACAGGATGAATTTTGATGAACAAACAATGTATATAGTCACGTACTCTCATTTCTATCATACACTCATTTCTTAGGTCTAAGTTAAAAAATGTATACCCTTAGTGCACTTATGCACTAGAGAAAGCTGCAAAGGAGCATTTGAGGGACAAAAACTGGGTATAAAACTGGAGCCTCGATTCTTATTGGTCAAGGAAATTTAATGTCCAAGTGCAAGTTAAGATTTTTTGCAGCGGTCTCTGGTGCAGTGCAAACTCTAGCGTGTACGCACCTTTATGCAAGTGATATATTTGAATTAACTTGTCATATTACAGAACTGAAGAAACCTATTGTCCAAAATATTCTCAAATCTCATACTAACTATGCCAGAAACAGTTTAAATCTCAATGAAGGGGTTCTCACCTGGATAGGGTGGTCCGGCAGGGTGTCCTGGCACCACCAGGCTGTTGGTCGGTAAGGTGGGTGGAGGAGGCAGTGTAGCAGGGTTGGCGAACATGGCCGGATGGCTGGAGAGGTGAGAGGGCGAGTGAAGGGAGTAGTGGGAGGAGGGCAGACCGGCTATGGAGAGAGGAAGAGGAGGAGCAGGAGACGGGAGGCCGCTGAGGTGATGAGGGGAGTGAGGCAGGTGGTATTTTGGAGGAAGCGTGGAAGGGTTGTTGCTGTGATTAGAAAGGAAAGACAGTATATGAGAAACAATATTGATATTAGGGCAGCTTATGAACTTAGAGCTGTCAATTTTCAGGTTTTATTACAAATTAAAATGTGTTTTTGTTGTGAGAAAAACAATATTTAATTATGTAAATATAATAAATAAAATTATGTATATATATACAGTGGTGGCCAAAATTATTAGAACACTAGTATTTTCACCAATTAAAAAAATGAGTTGTCCTTGTGCAAACAAAAATCTCACTGGATTATTACAATTAATAGCAAAATGAATGGAAATGGAAATGTAAACTGATATTTCCTACTGACACACTACAGCAAAAGATAACTGAAATAAGATAAAGAAATAACTGACTTAAAACCATTTTTTTTTGCTGGTGAAAATACTAGTGTTCTAATAATTTTGGTCACCACTGTACAGTGGTGTGAAAAAGTTTTTGCCCCCTTCCTGTTTTTTTTTGCCTATTTGTCACACTTGAATGATTCAGATCATCAAACAAAGTTTAATATTACACAAAGATAACCCGAGTAAATACAAAATGCAGTTTTGAAATGATGATTTCATTTATTAAGGGGAAAAAGCTGTCCAAACCTGCCTGGCACTACGTGAAAAAGTAATTGCCCCCTAAATCTAATAACTGGTTGTGCCACTCTTTGCAGCAACAACTGCAATCAAACGTATGCGATAACTGGCAATGAGTCTTTCACATCGCTGTGGAGGAATTTTGGCCCACTCTTCTTTGCAGAATTGTTTTCATTCTATTATACAGGTTTTTGTAAAAAAAAAAAAAGTTACTAACCTGATGTCGTGAAGACTGCTGTATGGCGAAGGATGATGACGGTGACTGATGACTGGATGGCTGTGGTGCAATGGGGGCGGGACTCTGTGCTCCAGTGAATGTGATTGGTTCCTCAGGAGGGACGGGGTGGGGTTAGGGGGCACAGATTCCTTCTTGATAGCGAGAGGGTTCGTGGAGAGCGGGTGCGTTCTAGGCGCGGGGGCTGCCGCCGCAGCAGGGGCAGGAGACCCCGTAGGGGGCGACGCTGGAGTCGGACTTGAGATCGGCGGGACAAACGAAACGTCGTTACTCTGTTCCTGGCTACGCTGAAGGCCAGACACTTTGGTCGAGCTGGAAGTTTTGGACCCGAGATTCTCATTCGTTGGTGTAACTAGAAAAAAAGAGAGACACAAAGAGAGTTTAAAATCTGTATTTGTATTTATTTAGTTTCTGTATTTAATTCAGATGTCAAATGCAATTTAGATGCTTTTATTGATATACAGTAACTGGGGGGCAAAGACCTCAGGTATTTAGAAATAAATCATGCAATTCTTCCAATTGTAAAGACCAGGCCACACCACAGGATAGTGAAAATGCCATAGGGTTTTTTTTTTTTTTTTCTCTGGTGCATGGGAGCATCTCAAATCAAATGCACTTGCAGTTTGGCGCAGCTGATAGTGTGGGATTGGTTTGCCAATCCATCCATTAGGTTGCAGCAGTGTGAACAGAAACCAGCCGTGATGTCTTCTTCACCCACTGTGCATAACGCTGGCATACGCCAAGACACCAAAAGCATCCACATCTGTCTGACTGTCTTCCTCTCTGCACCTCATCTTTCTTATCTCCCCTTTATCGTTTCATCCCAGGTTTCTTTTCTTTCTGTATTTCTTTCTCCCTCCATGGGTTTTATGAAGTGTTTAATCAGGTCATTTTCATGCTTGACTATAATCAGATGATCCAATTTTCTGCAAGCAATCCAGTCAGAATGAATAAATCAGAGCTAATTAAAGTTAAATGCTGTTCCCATTCATAGATTTACAGAGCACACAGTCTGCCATGAAATAATTATGTTTCAATTGTGCTGTGAAAAGGGATCATGCACCCTTTATACTGGCCTTTCAGAGTCCCCCCCTTGCTCGCTCTTTCTTTTTCACAAGATATTTCCAGGGATTTCGGTAACACTGCCAGAGTCTTTGTACAGAGGAACTTCTGTTTTTGCTCAGTTAATCGGAGCACAGTGCAAGAAAAAAAGCGTTTAGACTCAGCATTTTACAGACTATAGTCATTCAACATGTAAATGCACAGTAAAATAATTAAGAGTTAAGAAAAGGATGGTGCATCATAAAATCCATCTATACATATCCAGACTCAATCCAATAGCTAGTGTACACACTAGGGCTGCACGATAAATCGCATGCGATATTTAACGCGCTCTTGTCAGTAAAGCCGGTTCTGTAATCAGCGGTAAACCTCCATCGCGTGCGTGCTTTCACATGGAGCAGCATTTACTACACAGAGCCGTTGTTCACTGACAAGCTGCGCAAAACCACGTTCATATATTGGGAGCATCTCAAATCAAATGCACTTGCAGTTTGGCGCAGCTGATAGTGTGGGATTGGTTTGCCAATCCATCCATTAGGTTGCAGCAGTGTGAACAGAAACCAGCCGTGATGTCTTCTTCACCCACTGTGCATAACGCTGGCATACGCCAAGACACCAAAAGCATCCACATCTGTCTGACTGTCTTCCTCTCTGCACCTCATCTTTCTTATCTCCCCTTTATCGTTTCATCCCAGGTTTCTTTTCTTTCTGTATTTCTTTCTCCCTCCATGGGTTTTATGAAGTGTTTAATCAGGTCATTTTCATGCTTGACTATAATCAGATGATCCAATTTTCTGCAAGCAATCCAGTCAGAATGAATAAATCAGAGCTAATTAAAGTTAAATGCCGTTCCCATTCATAGATTTACAGAGCACACAGTCTGCCATGAAATAATTATGTTTCAATTGTGCTGTGAAAAGGGATCATGCACCCTTTATACTGGCCTTTCAGAGTCCCCCCCTTGCTCGCTCTTTCTTTTTCACAAGATATTTCCAGGGATTTCGGTAACACTGCCAGAGTCTTTGTACAGAGGAACTTCTGTTTTTGCTCAGTTAATCGGAGCACAGTGCAAGAAAAAAAGCGTTTAGACTCAGCATTTTACAGACTATAGTCATTCAACATGTAAATGCACAGTAAAATAATTAAGAGTTAAGAAAAGGATGGTGCATCATAAAATCCATCTATACATATCCAGACTCAATCCAATAGCTAGTGTACACACTAGGGCTGCACGATAAATCGCATGCGATATTTAACGCGCTCTTGTCAGTAAAGCCGGTTCTGTAATCAGCGGTAAACCTCCATCGCGTGCGTGCTTTCACATGGAGCAGCATTTACTACACAGAGCCGTTGTTCACTGACAAGCTGCGCAAAACCACGTTCATATATGATAGCATGCGATTTATCGTGTAGCCCACACACACACAAATGTGTATATAAATGTACATTTAATAACTCATGTACATCTTAAAATTATTATATTTATATCACCAGTTGGTCAATCTGCTCTCTAGGAATCAGTATTGACAAACCCATTTCAGTCGACCACTGAATGTAACCAAAAACCGTAAGGGACCGTAAAGATTGAGAATCTATTAAGGAAAAGTCCATACTGATCAACCACTTACAGAATAAAATTAATAAATCACACTATAACACTGATATTAACACTGGTAAATATTATCATTAGCAAATCTTAAAATTAAAATGTGTTGTTCATACTTTGAAATTGTGATACCTAAATTCACTTTAAGCATTTAAAACTATTTTTTTCATTAATCCATCATAGCATAAAATTTTTATATTAGCCAATTATTGCATAAAAACACTCTATTGGCATACACCTGTTTCATAAATGCCTATTTGATTGCCAACAGTGCTAGAAAAGAACGCAGAAGGGAAAGATAGAGAGTAGAGAGTAATTTAAGACAATATCTTCCATAGGCCACTAATTAGTACATTTAATGCAGTCCTCATTCCTAACAGCTTAGTGCAACCTCAAACAAAGACTTTGAAAGCCTGCAGGCCATTAAAACCTCAGACCGGAGCTCCTAATGGAATATCTGCGCTGTATTAATATAGCACTTAATCATTAATGGACACCGATAATTGAGGGATAAAAACGCTAGCTTGAGTTCTTGACATATTTCTCCCCTGCCGAATGTGACGCACCTCCTAAATGAGCCCAAACAGAACATGTTCTTACAAAGAAAACTGTCCTTTTAAGCGCGTAGGTGGTGGAGCTTGTCTGCTTTTGCAGCTCTGGGTTGGCTTTTGAAGGTTTTCCGGGAACGGCAGTGGTTAGGATTTGTAGGGCAGAGCCACGTACAAGATTAGCGCGAAATGAGAACTTCTACCCAATTGCTCGGAAAGGTCTAAACAGATGCACTCACGGATAACCCCGTCTTGCTTGCCTTTTCCTACAAAGCACAGAGAAGAAATACGTCGCCCGTCGGTGACGTTGCCTTGGAAACAGGTCTCCGAGGCACGTTTGTGTGGTGAAAGCGGACAGTGGTAGTCAGGCTCCTCAGCTAGCGGGCCGTGGCACTTTAAGCACAATGGGCCCTGCGCTCTCTCTTAATGATGATTCTAATGGGCCATAATGGCAGCCAGCAGGCAGGACAAGACATACAAGCTTGCCTTCTTTCTCATTAAAAAAGTGCCCTGTGAATGTCTCGGCTCGTCTGGATGCCTGCTGTACATAACGAAGGGACTTCTTCCCAGTCTGGAATGTGGCCGTAATCATTTCACACAAAATGTGACACAATGTCATTCGAAATGAGCGCCGGGCAGCCGGTGTGATGTCACGCTGCTGCCAGTGGCGTTGCTTGTCTTAGCACGGGCGAGGTTGTCACCTGCGAAATTCTTGTCAATTTTTGGTTGCGGTAAATTGTTAACGTGTCAGCCTCACTGTAGACACATCAGAATAGGGATAGGGCAAGTTGCCACATTAAAGATGTACGGCTTTCAATTTTCTCAAAACATTCCACATTGTGACTGTTGGCCCTGAAATTCTGCCTTAGGAATCTTTTAATGAGAAGACAGTGTCAAATAAACTTGTAACTCCTTTAACTTTCGTTTCTGACAACTGACAGGCCTCAAGGCAGAAATATTTCTCGGAGACAAACAAGACCTCATTATCCAACACCAAGGTCAGTGATAGATTTACCGTGCCCGCTAACAACAAAACCTCACAACACACCAACTTCAGTGTAAATGCTTACCCATTCAAACATTGCCACCGTGATTTTAGGGTCTTGGATTGCTGCTTGCTAGGCGTTCAAAGTAGTTTTAGTGTATTGCTATTACTAGGGTGGTGCTAGGCGGTTACTCCAAAAATTCTGTTAGATATGGCTCTTTCTATGGACTATTTTCACCCACTTTATTGTCCACCAGGCAAAAATCATCATTTTGATTGCTTAAGTACGAAAAGTTAAACCAAAACAATTTCTAACAAGTTTCACAATTTAATATTTCATAGCCATAATGGTACATTCACAGACTGCCTTATGCAAATACCCTGGGGTGCAGACACTAGCCAATCGCACTCATGCAACACCAGGAAACTAATGTGATTGGCTGCTGTCACCCTGACGGTCGTGTCAGCTCCAAGCTTCAGACACACCCTACATTAAGCGTCGATGCCGACGCCCCGTGTGAATGTACCGTAACACAAAATAAATAAATAAAGCAAGTGTATATTTGCTAACACAAATGGTACAGCAAAATAAAAAAGCAAAAACAAATGATTATTATTAATATATTATTATTATTAAAATAACAAAGCATGTGTTTGTGTTATATCAACACAAATGGTGCAGCAAAATAAATAAACATGATTTATTATTATCATCATTATTATTATTAAGATAATACTACTACTAATAATCATCATCTTAATAAATATGAATAATATTAATATTATGAATTATTTTTATTAATAAAATAAGGCATGTGTGCTATAACAGCACAAATGGTGCAGCAAAAGAAATAAAAAATAACTATTATTATTATTATTATTTTGAAGAAGAAGAAGAAGAAGGGAGAGGAGGAGGAGGAGGGAAGGAAGAGAAAAAGAGGAAGAAGAAATATGATCAGGTGTTTGTTCAAAAAAGAATAGTAATGATAAGTAGAGTTGGTAACAATTTCAATAATTTAACAAGGACTTCTTGCCATGCCATTGTATGCCTTACAGTGCTCTCAAGCTTCGAACAGAACAGCATTTTTAATCTGTAACATAGAACAGGCAACAAAAGAGACCCTTAAGATTGAGTGAAATCACAGCAGAGC